CTATATCTTTATTCATTCCTTTATTCCAACATATACCCACACTCATTTACCCCAATATACCATCTTCCAGAGTGGAAGTCATTCACCGAGAATGTGCCCATCTACCGCTTGCTCACAAAAATGCCAGGCGCGACAAGCTCTCCTACGAAGCGCAACTGTCTCCTTAGGTTGATACCTTGTGATTCGCTAAGCCAGCTAGCTCCCTTCTAGTCTCCCGTAGGCAACTCCTATGATGATGGTGATGACAGTCGATCTCCGAAATTTCATTACTTTTTCTTTGGTAACTGCGTTTAAACGATGTTTGGAGGTTCTGAGAACCGGGGGTGGCGAGATAGGCTGGGTAGGTTTGAAATACAGTATCTTTGATGATGGGTGTACCGGAATTTGCATCGTGAGTAGTTCACAAAGGGTAAAATGGGCGAGGAGGCATTGCAAATGAGTGAGAGGAGTACTGGGTGTATATTGAGGGTGTTCATCGCTGAGCATGGCTGCGGATGCCTTTCACTATCCAAACCCGACGCGTCGCGTCTCGTTGATTAGCGCTCTCACAATAATGTCGGAAATTTCCCAGGCGCCTGATAAGGCTCCGGCCTTGCAATGTTGATCGCCAACATAATCAGGCCTTGCCCAACCCTTGCCAGCCCTTGTCATTTCACGGCAAACCTGACGAGATGATGCCGGGAAAATCCGGGGGGCGGTTGCCTTACAAGGCGACCAGACGTCTGATGTAATGATTATTTCCACCTTACAGTCGTGGACAAGCAAAGCCCACCAATTGCTTATCTGGCTGAAAACTCAATGAAATCGCGAGATTTTTTCAGAATCTTGCTCAGTTTTTCAAAAGACGTCGAAAACACCCCCTCCGAAGTTTTTCCCACGAGTAATTAGGAAGCGCCAAATTTTTGGGGTCGAAAACCGCCAATGTAGATACGAAATTTAGTTGAGTACTGAGTCTAAATGCATCATTGCGGTCCTCGAAACGCTGCGATGCCCTTTCTGCTTTCGCACAGCCCACTGGGCAGCCTCCCCAGTCAATCCGATGCGATAAGCTGACATCCACCGCCACGATCGGTTGATGAATCGCCGGATCACCTCAGGAGGACAAGCGTTCAGCGCTTCTGAGGCAGCGTCTTTTGCCTGTTGGAAAGTATTCTTGTCTACTTGTCGATATCTGTATTTAGCCCATCCCCAATACTATAGAGTAGAATCAGAATAAAGTTTGCCATAGGAAAGTATCAAGGCTCACCATTTCAATGGGATTGAGCTCGCAATGGAATTTAGGAAGAAAAATACACTCATGCCCGGCCTCCCGAATTACAGTTTCAAGAACGGAAATCTGGTTAGCAAAATCTTCTTGCTTACTGAGAAGACGTGCCATGCAGCAATTCTCATTCTCGAAAGGGCAGACTGGTGCGCATTTAGCGCGAAGGTGGCGCACATCAAAGCCACGCTCTTCAAGAGTTTGTTGAAGCCCTTTTTGTTGCCCAGTCTCGGTGGTCATTTTTTGAATCCTGCCGCGATATTCTGGAAATGGATTTGAATCTGGAATAATAGTGTCTTTTTGCCGACGTTGTGCTCCACCGTTCGATTTATTCATTTCAAAGGCTTTGAGCGCATCAGGTGCTAATGCGGCGTGAGCAGATGATTGATCATAGATAAAAAGTGCCTGGCATCCTGGATGTGCTTCTTCGAAAACCGGGATTGCCTTGTTTTTCACCTGATCAATAAGCTGCTTGGAATCCCACCATGGATCACCATTGGAGCCTGGATAGATTATCTGCCGTGCTTCCTTTAAAACTTCACCGTTTGGGCCGTTCACGACCAAACGCCCATTCTCAGCCTCAATATATTCTGAGATGTGTATTAAGCGTCCCCTGTCTTTTTTTGGGATGATCTGCTCCGTTGAATGTAACCTGGAACAAAAAACAATAGTTAGAACTAAGGCAAATAAGCCAAGGGAACAATAAACATACCAAACCGATGCTGTATGCTCAAAGGCATGGAAAGACGACTCATCGTGAAACTCGGGGATAATTTCTTTCTCTCCCAGTTGAAGCAAGGGTGAAATTCTCTGTAAATCATCACCTATACGCTCATACCTCGCCATTCGGCTTTCAAATTCGGCCATTTTTGGAAGGAAAATATTCTGACGATAGGAAACAACGTCTGCCCGTTCGTGTCCATCCACGTAAACGCCCTTCTTAATTCTGGTGCGATGCCAACCAAGCTTAACGAGCCAGCGACGAGCTGTTCTCTCGCAAAGTGGCTTGTTGGGATAAATACCGAGCGATGGAAGTATTGATTCGTTAAGGCCTTTCTGAAATTTGACTGGGGTAACTTTCCCCTTCTGCTGCTGGATAAGCCAAGCACGAGATGCACGACGAACTGCCTCATTTTTCAAAATTGATCGTGAGTTCTTCTGCCCACCACGTCGCTCCCGGGGAAGCTGTTCAAAAATTTGATAGTGGCGTGCAAGGGCTCGGATTCTCCTTGCAAAATGATCTGACGATCCTTCGAGTTTTTGGTGCCACTGCTTGGCAATGTCTTTGCTTGCTTCTATTCTACCAAGTCCTTTGAGGCGAAGCGTGGCGAAATTACGAAGAATCATGAGTTGGTTAATTTGGGATAAGGGAAGCGACTTGAATTTTTTATTGAGGTCATTCTTAATTTGATCGCGAAGTGCGTGCCAGTCTCGTATTTCGCTTGGATTTGACGCAAAGCATTCGTCGAGTTCCGCCTCCCATTCCTCATCTGCAAGTTCTAAATCATCAGTATTTTTCTGAGCTGCATGATGGGGGTCTGCAGAATTTTCGGGGTTACTCTCGCATCCATTCTTTCTCTTTCCTAGGAGCGAGATCTGGTCATCAAATAATAAACGCGGTGGACTCATCGATTCTTCACGGATCTGGACCAAATCACAAAAAACATCTGCTGGGGTTTCGTCATCAAACATTAAACGGGGTGGGCTGGCAGATTCAATGCGAATTTGAATGTCATTTTCTCCTGCATCTTCTTCGGCAACAATCTCTGCGTCTCTTTCAAGAGGAATTTCGAGCTCTGGACTCTCCTGCTTGATTGTGTCAACCTGATAAAATTTTAGCAGCTCTAAATTTGATTAAAAAGTATATTTGACAGACCTCAAATGTATCTTCCCCAAATCCACTCGAATCCGATTGACCTGAATCTGATTCCATGTTGTCCTCATGGTCTATACATGGCCTTTTGTCAGTCTTCGTGAATCCGAGATCTTCAAGAGTCTTCTGATCTTTTAAAAGGGACTTATAACGACATTGAGTTCGCGTCGATTTGCTCCCAACATCTGGACCTTTTTTATATTCTTTAGGACGGTTTGTGACTATCAAAATGGGATTAACGCGGAAAGTGAAAGCCGAGTTTAAAGCACGCACTCTTTCTCTCCTTCCGCAACTTCTTTCTTGTCTTTTTTGGCACCCAATCCTCATCCATCAAATTGTCCCCGACATCCATCGCCATTCGCATGAGGGCGACATACAAGCCCTTGTTTCTGTACTTTCTTGGATTCACCCCGGGCCGTATTTCCTCGACCTTGTCAAGAAAATCCTCTTCGTCTTCACTATCAATATCACCATCGGACTCTACACCATCACACACTGGTCTACTGCTGTCAACGTGCACATTGGGAACCCACTCTTCATCGTCGACATCATCGAGATCGTTATCTATCAGCAGATCAGGTGTGTAGTGGTATGTTGCGACTACAAATTTGTAGTCTTCATGTGAGGATCGCACGAGCCCTGAGGTTTTTGGTTCAATCCTTACTTGTTGCATTTTAATTTGCCACGTAACATTGTTAAGTCTAGACTGTGACTCTTTATAATTTGGATAATCTTATCAGGCCTGATAATCTGATCTTATTAAGTTAACCCAAAACTTAATAAAATAACTGCAACGTTGTAAGCCATTATTAGATTAGGGGTGCCTTGGGTGCCTAATAACCCTTATTAGGCGCCAGGGAAATTTCCGACACATGACTCAAACGTGGGAATAAAGGGCATCAATTTTTTACTACGGTTTGATGGGCGCGATTGAATGCAGACTAGCTCCCTTCCTCAATTCAAAATCGCAGGCCAAAAATTATGAGTTGATAATTTATTATAAAAACGCCACAACAGTATCAAGCCTTCTTTTCCTCAATGCCTGGAGGAATCTCCCACAGCTGTTCCCTGAATGCCCAGGGAGAATTGTACCATAGCCTCTTCTCTAGCACCAAGTACTCCGTCACTCGTTTTGGGTGAGCTGGGGTCGTACCACTTTCAGTTTTGGGTCCAGCAGGCTCGTGAAGGACGCTTCCTCGCGAGTCGTATATCTCGAGACTCTGACAATGTTGGGTCAGCAACTGTAGCTTGCGTGAATGACCGTGAATCTCACCTGCTCTGTATCGAGCCTCACCAATGCATGGACCAGATATCTATGTCCAAGCCTTGGCTTTTCTGATCCCAAATACCCATCCGTTACGCGCAGCGATACGATGCGGGTTGGTTGGACCTCATTGTGGAACCGCCAGATGAATGAAAAACCTCCTCTTTTTCTACTGCGAGTAAGGTCCAGCATATGTTTCTGGTAGTCCGAAGTGGTATACGTCTTGACGCCTTTTTCTTCGTGCCTGAGAAAGCAGAGCGAAAAAAATGAGTGGGTCGCTAAATGTCATTATGAGGCTGAGGGTACCTAGCAACTGCAGTGTTGATCTTTTGGTAGGTCTCCAGAGCTATTTGAGCGAGAGGTTGCATCCAGGCTCCACGTTTGACGGACTGAGTGGTGAAAGCTTTGTAAGGCCAAAGCAATTTCTGCCACCACCGCGTTTTCTCCAAACTGATTCCTGGGAGAGCGTCGCTGGCTGCGAGAACATATAGACTGAAAAGGGCGAGTCAGACATGCAAAATTACTAGACGCGCATCCACATACCTAATAGCGTTCTTGAGGGCATTCTGGCGATTATTGAAGAGATTTTTGAACATCCTCTTGATTGAAAAGTTCTTCCATGTGACAGATGCAGGTATCATGACGTCTTTTCTTGAAAATAAAATGATTAGTTGCCGTCGCGCCCAAAGAAAAAGTTTGTCGAGGTAAATTGAAAGTGACTAAACCCACCTAGCGATTCATGAATTTGCTGTCCCCATGGGTCAACTTGGGGCATCAAGCGTGACATAAGTTGCAGCTGCTCCAGTTGCCTCAACTGTGCCTCCTGTTCCGAAATAGCAGGTTCTTCCTTCTTTTTCTTCGAGACTCCCGAAGGAGTCGCTGTCGTTGTTGAAGTTGGAGGGGGTGCGGGGGTTACCTCTGGGTTTTTAACGGATGTAGTGGGGGCCGGCTGGGAGGTAGTGGCCGCTACCACCTTTCCTTGGGTGGGTTTGGCTGGCTTTTTGGTAGTCTTAGCAGATCCCTTTGCAGAGGCATTAGGGATTGGTTTACTGCCTGCAGACGTCGCCTTGGGTGACGCTTCTGACTTTTTTTTGGCGGCAGCCGCGACGGCGTATTTTCGGGTGCATGCGGGTGAGGCAGGAAGCTGCACAAACCGGAATGAAGATGTAGATAAAGCAGTGGGTTGAGAGCACAGCCAGACGAGGCGGGCCCTCTGCATACCTAAGGCCATGGCTGGTCGTAACTTGACGCGAAAGTTCGGTATGTTTGTTTGTGCATGTTGGTATTACGTTTTCGGCAGCCCTCGTTCACCGAAAAACATTTTGAGCAAGGCTTTTCCTTGAACCATCATCTTCACCCCAACATCCATTTAAACCTCATTCATTATTATGCCTGTCAGTCAATCCTAGTATCAATAATTTGTGCCGTCTAACTCTTTGCAGCGTCAATCCCGTGGTCGCTCTGCTGCTCCTCGCGCTGCACCCGCCCCTCAGCAAACTCGTAGTGCCCACACAGCTACCGCTCCTGCCGGATACGCACCGGCTCATGCTCCCACTCCAGCAATGGGAGCACAAGCTGCAGCCCAGCCGAAACAACCTGGCATGATTGCCCAGATGGCCGCTACCGCTGGTTCCGTCGCGATAGGTTCCACCATCGGCCATGGTCTCTCGAGCATGCTCTTCGGTGGCAGTTCAAATTCTGCTGCTCCCGTTGCAGAGGCACCCCCTGTGCAGCAGCAACAGCAACAACAGATGGGAGGTGTTAGCTGCGAAGTCCAAGCGAAAGGTATGTCATTGTAACAGCCAATCCCGTTTTTCCGATTATCAATACGCGATTCGTCAGACTTCACCCGGTGCCTAGAGAAGGCTGATCTGCCTTCATGCACTTGGTACCTTGACCAACTGAAGGCTGTATGTCTACGCCCGTCTGATCTACATTTGCGTCTGATCTTCCTTCCCACAGTGTCAAGCGGCTGCCGCCCCATACTAATTTGCAAATTTCAATTAGACCTCTGGCCACCGAGATATCATTCGGTGGGCGTTAGTCCGTTGTGCTTTGTAGTACTCTTTGTGCAAATGGAACGTTTTGCTTATATTTTTACATCAGAATGTGCCACAAGAAGTATGAACAGGTAATCATGAGTTGCTCTTGACTCCGAGTAACTCGAGAATGTAAGAGCTTAGCATCGTCACCTCTGTTTTGCTCGCTTGTCTCTTTGTTGCCTTCAGCCACGGCAAATTTCGGACGGCATAACGAATTGTTATAACCTGAATCGTGGAACGTTGGCGATGAGAGACAAGCACCAGTGACATGACGAAAGGAGGGATCGCAGGTTCAGAACTATCGCCTCTAAAATCAATTATCAACTTGTGTCATCGAAGTGATACCTACGAAAATATTAACACCCATAACGGAACGGGCTGGGGGTGGTCACAAGGTAACTGTCAAGGTCGACGGCGCAGCCCCACTCAGATGGCCGTCCACACTGCGGGAAATTGGGGTCGCCCCCTCCAGAGTCTGGAGAGTTCAGACTAGCCCTCGGTGTCAAATGTGGACCGAGTTTATTTTCCCGTTCACCCAATAGAAACTTCCAGTCATCCGTAAGGAGTCCTTGGCAACCCAAGTCACTGCGTGGGGCGTTCCAATGCCGTAGGAAAAGGGTTCGAAAATCGATAGCCATCCCGTATCTTTGGCTGTACTCTTCAATGTACAATGAAGCCTTAAGAATGAGTTGGACGGCGATCCCGGCATCAAGAAGCGCTTGCATAGCGTCTGGATGGGACGTCGCCAACCACCACTCTTCGGCAACGACCTTCTCGGACTCATAGCGGCTGTACAACTCCAATACGCGACAATACTCCTCCTCGATTAAACTGGGGTGTTCGGTGATCTACGAAGATAGGTTAACAACATATTCTAGAATCTAGTCCTACTCCGCAACTTTGCAAGGGGATACTCACCAAAGGATTTTGTGTGGCATCGGGCAGGTCGTGAAAGGTCTTCAACTCTCTGGCACCATAGCTTGCCGTTCGGCGTTCGAGGAAGCTCTCGGCATTGTTATTACAAGCAGCACTGGGACAGCTGCATACCGATGGTGGTCGAACTGATGGACTCTGAGCATGCCGCCGGGAATAAGAAATTTGATGAGGTGCAAGGCGTTGTTTTTTAGATGAACGCCGTCGTTTGTTTGCCGATCCCTTGGGTGTTATGGACGCTTCAAAGACGCCCAACCGCCACGTATTGACGCATTGAAAGAGGTCGAGCAAACCAGCAGTCATAGCAATAGTCATGGCAGACGAAATTCGAGGGATAGAAAGGAGTCAGAAGAGCAGGGGTTCACCGTTATATCTTTCACTATAAGTAACCGACCCGAAAATTGCGGAGAAAATGCTCTAAAGTTGACGAAAAGGTGACGAACCGGGGCTACGAAGTTGCAAGGAGCACCGCCAAAGTGAGAATTTTCATTGGTCGAGTAGCCTTTACCTACTTAGCCTAGGGCGGTCGTCGCCTCCTGCAGGGCAATGCCCTGTTTCAAAATCAGAGCTTACCAGAAGAGACCAAAAGTTATGATTCGGAGAGCCGAGAGTTGATTGGCAGCCCTATTCCAAGGCAACTTGTTGGGACCTTCACCCACAATTTTCAAGTTTCTCCAGGCTCTCGCATTACGGGTCTTTTCTGAGGTGCGTATGGGGACATACTGACTTGTGGAGCGTTATGGACTCCACTTGCGTAGTTCAGATTCCACAAGACCCCTGAACGTATGCTCTGCTAGGCCCATTGAATAATATGATGCGCCAAAGAGCGGCTTTACAATAGCTCACCGCTATCCCTGTAGTTATGTAGATCTTCAAAAAGGCAAAACTATACAGGTAAGTATTGGAAGGACCCCTGAAAATGCTGCTAAATGGTAGATACCGATCCGGACAAAAAAATTCGAAACGGGGGTGCTAGGCTAGAGACAAACCGGACAAGTTTTCGAAAAATCAGCAAAATGCTAGATACGAAATCCGGACAGGTTCTCGAGGAGAATGAGAGGCTAGATACTAATTGGACACATATGGTTGCATAGTGCAACGGAAAAATGTAGGTAGTTTTTGCAGTCAGCCGTGTGGTCGGTGGTGCGAACCTTGCGCTGCAGAGAAAGTTTTGGCCCTGAATGGGCTAGATACGAAGTCCGGACAAACTTTTCAAATTTGGTCTAGGCCAGATAAAATCCGGACAGACTTCGCCAAAATTGGTACGGACAAGAATCTGAAAATCGTTGATTTTAGTATCTATCATTTGTCCTGTATTGGAGGGGTAAAAGAGGGGTGCAATTGAATAAAGCAGGACGAAGAAAAAGGAAAGGTTGTCGTCAAGTTGTCGTCGGATAACAGCGAATAACGTCCTGTGAGTATCCCCCGCTGAAAAGAATTATATTGGATACAGGGCAGATAGGTCAGTGGACGTTACATACATAGAGTGAGCATGGACTTAGAGGAGTCATACACAAGTCATACAATGTGGGTATAGCTGTCCTTCTCATCAGAAACCTCTCTCCGACGACGAGGATGCAGAACGGAATGGAATGCTTGCGATGCCCTTTTCAAAAGTTCAAATTCCTCCGTCCATTTGAGAATAAGAATGATCCCGGCTGTTGCCAACATACTACCGACCGCAATCACAAAGAAGATCCAAATTGGCATTGACTGGTTGATGCTGAGCCACGACTGGAGTAACGTCGGTTAGTCTAAGTTTACGGACATGCCGAACGCATCACACATACCGTAGCAAACGATAAGGGCAGGAAAACAGTCGCTACGACTGATAACCGGCCGCCTGCTTGCGAATCTTGAACTTGGAGGCGGGCCATTTCCGCAGAAATCAGCGCTTGCCGATTCGCAAGGCGTGCTTGTTGGAGGGAAATATAGTTATTTATCTGCAAATGATTCAGAACGGAGCTTGTTTAGATATCAGGTGAAGAAGCATACCAAGGTCAAGCTCATATTTCCCCGGTCTTTGCATCCTTCGAGACGTCTTCGTAAATCAAACAGATTGTTCGTTAGATTGGCGGTATCGTGGATGTACATGTCTGGGCGGAACTGTGGCTTGGTACCGTTCCCTAGGTACTTGAGATAGCCCTCGTACTTCCCCAGCTGGAGATTGAAGCGATACAATGTCTGGACGATGTCACGATGGAGGTATGTCCCTATGTCGTAGAGATTATGTTCTGGAAGCTGATCTGGCAAGCTTTCCGGGAGAGACTCGTCCTATCAGATGAACTATGAGGGTTATGGATTTAGAAAAACGGGTGTAGACCTACGATGACTTCTAGATCACGCTGGACCTGAACCGTGAAGGAATGCCATGTTCTGATTTCAAAAGGTTTGAGAAAAGTCGCATGCCAGTTCGCTGGCCAAAAGAATCAAATACCTGAGAAGCTGCTTGACAACTTCTAAGATTATCCCAACTGGCTCCTTCGTAAATTTGACCAGCGTTTCCGTCTCAGCTTCTTTTAAATTTCGCATGAACCATTCGGTGCAAAGTGGCTGAGTGCGCTCTGTAGCTTGGAGTGGCAAGGACGATACTGCCCTGCAATCCTCAGCCAGGTACACGAAGGTATAGAAGCCATCCATGGGAATAAGATAACCAGAAGTTCTGCGGTTGATGTAAACATCGTGAGATTGTACTGATGCCACCTCGAATGTAAGACAACGTGCAAGAACAGTTTGGTTAAACAACGTACCCCCCGTCAACCCAGCCCCATAGAACCTATGTCGACTCGACAGCTGTTTCAATCGGCCTTCGCGTACAACTTTCATTGCAGGTGGCGTTTTCGCAGAATAGAATTCAAAGCCAGGTAAATCGAAGGACAGAATTTTACCATCATCTGATTATGATAGTTCTGTTAAACTTGAGATAAATGCGGCCGACTACAGACTTACTATGTGTATTGAGCCAAAAGCCATCTGATGCCTGCTCTGAAGCTACCCACGCCCAAAATGCAAGATGTATACCAAGAGCCGTGCTCATGAGCTGCAATGCTTCTCCTGACATTTCTTTGACCAGCCTTAAAGGTGTTTTCATATATTTAGACGTCTGAAAGGAAGAAAGAAGAGCTTGACTTACAGCACGCGTATAGATGTTGATGGCGCAACCTGAATTATCGAATTGAGCATGATACATGCAACAAGACGGAATACATACCTTCTCTGCAGTCAAAAAATTCCACAAAGTGTCCTTGTCCGAAAACGACCTTTCATTTGACAATGCTTCATGCGCGTGTTTTAGTTGGGTTTGACAATGGAGCTACCGACTAACCACCATCTACAGATATTTCGATGCTTCGAACATCCATAGAATAACCATTTGAGTACTTCGAAACAAAGTCTTTGATGATGGGTTCCGAAAGGCCGTAAGTTCTCCAGCTTTCTGCTGTTCGTGAATGATGAGTGGAGTGAGCACTTAAAATTGAAGAACCTGCAGCTTACATTTGTCTTGTGTCTCTGGGGAGCTCGAAGATACAGAACCTGGCGCAATTCTTGGTGTAGTTTCGAGGAAGTCGGAAGCCATGGTTGATCCTGGCGTCACTGCCAAAGGAGAGTAGGCTGTCTCCACCCTGTGAGTGAATTGTATTATCTTATGTATTGCGGCGCTGGAGCTTTAAGCGCCTTGGGCCTTGATACCATGCCGAGTCAAAAGGATCCCACATTCTGGCTCAATGAACGTGTGCCTGTCAGGGGATATGAGATGTGCACCATGCACCTACGTGACCTACCAGCACCCTACGTTCGTAAGGAGTTCTTCGATATGAAAGTTGCATTTCGTGTCAGCAATGGTGGTGGAAAGCAAGCGGCGGAACGGAGACTTCTTGTTGATCGTGAATGCATCCGTGATCGCGGTTTTGTGGTGCCCCTAAATATGACAGTCTCATGTCTAGCCTCCAGTAGTGATTTGCTCTCTTCAAGATGACTACGTTGTCAAAATCCTTGAGGCCTCTCGCCCGACCTCATCGATGGAAACCAACGCAAGCAACAACGGGGCTTTCTCGATTGTTCAGTGAAAGTCGTCCTCGGCGACAGCAAAATATTCCAGAGTTCGAGGCAGAAGCACGAACATCTCGGTTCAATCTCAGCCGTCTCTCTCCTTTTTGGACGGCTCTCATCGTACTTGGGGCAGGTCTGACTGCTTATGGCCTGTACTAATATAGTCTCTCTCTCCATTTTGCCGCTGTTTACAGATTATTTTCCTCCAGCTATGATATATATGCCACATTGACGATGTGGCCTTCGGAAATCCGGAAGGATCTCCGTGGGGGACTGGCTGCTAAGTACAAAGGCGACCTATTGCTGAGCGCTCAATATCTCAGAAGGTGCGATCACCGTTGTCTTCAATCCCCGCCTTCTCTTCAGACTTACCATCGTCTAGGGCTTTGGATACATCCAAAAAGATCCCTCTTACTGAATTCAAAACCTTGCCATACCTCAAGACGTCGGGCATCGCCATCTGTCTCGCTGGCGTGCTAGAAGAGGACGGAAAGGTCGAAGAAGCTTATAAAGTGTACGAGGATGCACTTCTACAGCTTCAGCACGTCATGGACGCCAAACCTCAAGAGCTGAAAGGGCAAGAGAAGATGCGTGCTGTAGCCCTCTCTCACAAACTTGGGGAGATGGCGCATGATATGCATAAACCGCGAGAGGAGGAAGAAAAATGGCTTGTATTGTCTGTGGAGACCATTCTGAAGAGCGTTCTGCAGGCGCCGGCAGGAAGTCAGGCAGATCAAAATGGGAGTCGGCACGATATCCAAGTTATGGTAGAAGAATTGGCGTTGCCGGGTTGGGTTGTACAACAGGATATTGCGGCACCTTTCGAGGCATTGGGCAGCTTTTATTCAAGAACTGGGAACATTCGGTAAACACACATTGCCTTTATATCCTGGAGTGGATCAAAAACAACTTCTCTTACTCAGTTTTGCAATGCCCCTATATCTACAAGCTGTATCGATTCTCATCCCGCCGCCTCCCCAGGAATGCTCACCGGAAAACAAGTGCCGTGGTGAGTGGGATGGCGTTTCCATTCTACAAACGACACTGACAACCTGCCTCTCAGGTGCTCAGATGATGGGGAACATCGCTGACCTCATATTACAGAGTGGCACCAGTCCTGAGTTGATTCAGCAAGCTGAGTCGTGGGCGAACAAAGGTCTCGAAGTTGCATCTGTCGTGAGGAACAGCTCGCGTGCCAAACATGACGTTTGCGAGATAGCTTATGCTTTCATGCTTTTCAATCTTGGAAGGATTCGGGAGGTGAGTGACTTGAGATTAATTCATTTAACCTCAAGTTTCTTATACTTCTGCAGATATCCAAAGATTATGGGAAGGCCAAAGAGCTTTTTACTGCGAGCTTGGAACAATCGAAGGCGATTGGACTAGAAGAAGGCATCGAGCACGCTGAGGACGGATTACGTTCATTAGGTTCAGATCAAAATACAGCTCTTCCCTCTATCAAGCCGACCCATGGAGGAGTCCAAAAAGATATAAGTTAAGTACGAAGGGTGCCGCGTGGAGGTGTAGAGGTAGAAAATGTCTAAACGAGGGACAAGGGTGTAAGTAATTGATAAAAATTCCGAATGCAACTTAAGCATCCTCGTCCTCGACCTCCTCAATCCGCGCACTCCGACTTTGGGGCCGTGAATCCGCCGACTCATCATCCTCGACGGCTGCCGACCCGTTTTTCTCGACTGCGCTTGATTTTCCCTTCTCCTTGTCGCCCTTCTTTTTCTTCCCCTTCTTCTTGGGAAGATCCCACTCCCATAGAGGTATAAATGAATCAATCTAGCATCCGGTGAGCATGGACATCATTGAACAAGAGAGAAAAAATGACGCACAAAGCCAACATCGGCGAATAATTGGGGGAATATCCAAATCCCAGGACTCGCCACGATGACAGTGATGATATAGAAAATCAACCGCACAATCGCAATCGCGAAGAACAATCCAATGAGGCCAAGCATGCCAATACTTAGATACCACACTCCCAAACGCATGATGGGGGGCCAGAGAGGGAACATCACGCCCGCCAGCATGATAGCGACCATCAGAATGCCACCAGCGTACGTTGTCCATTGTGAACCTTCATAAAACCACGCGTAGTACTCCTTTACGTCGAACTTCTGGTCTTGAATGATTTGGAGGGCTTTCGGCGAGGATGAGGATGATCCAGTCGGCCCGCCACGTTGAACACGGAGGAAAAAGGCGTAGCTGTTTATCTGTGAAAGAAGATTTTGGGCTTCTTCTTCCGAGGTAATAGCTGGGACTCCTTTGAGTTTAGCATAGGCTGGCGAAAGGAGTGCTTTAACTGCGGATTTTCCTGGAATTATACACTGCAGGTCAGTGGCGCGAACTAGCATGTGTATGGCGATTGCTGCGCACCTTTGAAGTAATCCAGACGTTTCCCGTTCAGTGCTCCTACGCGGATTTTCAAGCCTGCATTCCCGCCGCGAAGGAACTGGGCGACTTTCTTTATTTCTGGAGACGCCTTTTGTTGTTGTTCCATGCCTGTTGAAGCTGGCTTCGCCTCTAAATTAATGGTACAATATCGCTGAAAGATTGAATTTAGACAAGATTGGGTTGGAGAATAGAATAGCGATACTTACCGAGGATGCGCTGGTGGAGAACGATAAGTAGAAGACCGACACGTCACAACAATTTACATTGTCAATGGTGTACAGCCACAATCACACTATCAATCACAAGAAATCGCCGACCCTTTGCTTTTGGCCACCTCTGGAGGGAAATCCTTGCATTTCACCCTTCGACGCGTGTTCAGACTATCGGCTGCGGGGTGCCCTCTTTCCGTGACGAGCGCCTTGGACGCGTGCCCGGACTATTTTTCTGTTAATATCTTTGAAGCTTATCACGACCATCCTGAAATACAACAACTTGATCGCTTCTCTCGCTTTCGTCATCATCGTCCAGAGACCGCGCTCTGGGTAAACGGTCGACTTGTTTGACAGGTTGTCCTCGGCAGCATTACTCTATCCTCCTTCCAAACTATTTGGTGTATTGACAAAACTGACATGATATGTTCATCCAAGATTTTCTACATACGAAGTGAAACTAGACAAACGGTGATTTAGGCGCGAGCCCACCATGGTATACTCTGAGTCTATGCAATCTTCCAAAACCAGGACCTAGTTCTTTGATTGGGTAGCTGCCAGAACGTGTGTGCGCTTGTAGGCGGAGAAACAGGAAAAGCCTGGGAAAAGACTTCGTTTTCAAGTTGACACCCATGTGGCGGAAAGGTGGCCGCCGCGAACGTCACCGTCGCCAGGTTCAAACTTGTTATGCTGGTTGAGAACTTTTCAATTCCTTACTTGATCTTCACGACAAATCGTCAATTCGACTCGGGAGCGAGGTATTGATCGATCCATTATACCACCAATGAAATTGACGGGTGTAGGGTGCAGGGGATATCAAGTCGGCAGTCGTCTTATCTGTCAACGACGGATGATTTTTGATATGTTTCAATGAATTGGGGAATTCAAAGATGCACTTGGAGAAATCATGATGACACTTGGGATCATGGGGTGGTTTCATGCAATCTGCTCATGCCGAGTTCATTATCGTTCCATCACGTCGTATGGGCCTGATGAGAGGAGGTATCTCACCATTTTCACTGCACGTCCAAATGCGAGCCCCGAACGTCTGGCCTCAGGGGATAGTATGAACTTTGCTATATTCAAGGCATCCTTTGTACATGCATATGGTTCCCATGGGGGTGATCAGCAGGCGATCTGTGTACACTAGCTCATCGAAAAGGTACATAATGAGTGTGTTGGGACGTGAACTTTTCGCACCGTCGCCAAGCCAAAGGCGAATCTCACGATGTGCAAACTCCTAAAGATCAGGTGTGCGTTTTTGAGAGATGATTTTGAGAGGTGGGAGATGTAGTGGGGTTCTTAAACGGTGAGAACACATGCTAAAGCAGGCAGTCACCATGGCAATGCTAAGGGAACCAGAAAAAGGTTAGATAGCAGGAGAGTAACAGAACAATTGGAATTTGAGCTGATGCTGGGCATCGTGAGGAAGGGTTCCAAACGAAAAGGTTTTGTTGTTGCTACAACCGGTGTTGTTCCATATTACGACACAACCTTTTTTTTTGTAAATGGCTCTTGTTATTGTCTGAAGGCCTTATACCCCTTTGTCTGATTTTTGCTCCCATTCTTTCATCCCCCTCACTACCACCACAACCCACTCACAATGCCAGACCCTACCCAAGCGCCTACGAAGTCGAAATCGGCAGCACCTGCCCAGCCCACCCCGAGGAAAGTCAGGTTTAACGTCGGTATGCATCTGTCGCCACTCCTTCACCGACTATTGTTCACTGATATCATCTCTTTGAAGGCACCCAATACCAAGTTCTCGATGTCGTTGGTGAAGGCGCCTATGGGATTGTGTGCTCTGCCGTGCATCGACCAAGTGGTCGCAAGGTCGCTATCAAGAAGATCGCCCCTTTTGACCATTCAATGTTCTGCCTGCGGACCCTCCGGGAGCTCAAGCTCCTCAAGTTCTTGAGTGAGGCGGGTGTTAGCGAGAATGTGAGTCGACAGATTTGCCAGCTGCCAGACGCTTGACGGCGCGTCAAGATCATTTCAATTTTGGACATCATCAAACCAGCCTCAATAGATGCGTTCAAGGAGGTCTACTGTACGTTTGCCACCCACCGTAGATTGTTAACTACTAACACCATGTCGGACAGTGATCCAAGAGCTTATGGAGACTGACATGCATCGGGTTATTCGAACACAAGATCTTTCTGACGATCACGCCCAATATTTCATATACCAGACTCTTCGTGCTTTGAAAGCACTCCATTCTGCAGATGTTATCCATCGTGACCTCAAACCCTCCAATCTCCTCCTCAACGCGAATTGCGACCTGAAGGTCTGCGATTTTGGGCTTGCGCGGTCTGTTAAGACCGCTGAGCCATCTGGCACGGAGACCGGGTTCATGACCGAGTATGTTGCGACCCGTTGGTATCGTGCCCCCGAAATTATGTTGACGTTTAAGCAATACACGAAGGTGAGAGATGCCCTTGTTCTCCAATTTTCTACCGATCTAATCACAAAATACAAGGCCATTGATGTATGGTCGGTAGGTTGCATTTTGGCAGAGATGCTATCTGGCAAGCCACTCTTTCCGGGCCGAGACTACCATCATCAATTAACTCTCATCCTCGACGTCCTGGGAACGCCCACACTTGATGAGTTCTACGCCATTACCACGCGGCGTTCGCGGGATTATATCCGGGCACTCCCATTCCGGAAACGTAAACCGTTTGCGCAGCTCTTTCCCAATGCAAACCCTCTTGCGGTAGATTTCTTGGCTAAAACCTTGGTATGTTACCATATGATATCTTTCCAGCTCCATGAATTAACAGTGATGTAGACGTTCGATCCCAAGAAGCGGATTACTGTCGAGAATGCTCTCGCGCATCCCTATCTGGAATCCTACGTATGTGCTACCCCTTGTTCACTCACATCAAACCTGAACTCATTCATCTTCCACAGCATGACCCGGAAGACGAACCCGTGGCACCGCCTTTGGACCCTGAGTTCTTTGAGTTTGATTGTAAGTCTTCGAACCAACTTAGGTGGACTGCTTGACCAAGTCATATTTTTAGTGCACAAGGACGACATCAGCCGAGAACAGCTGAAGGAACTCCTATATGATGAGATCATGTCCTTCCAACCCGCGCCAATTACATAGTGGCTGCGCATATAACTTCTTTGTATGTGAGTATCACTCGTATCCCACACCCGTTCGCCTCCCTTACCGTGCACTTTGATAGTCTAATCGTTTGTAAACCTGCCTGTATACCTCGAGATCAACCGCAACCCTACAACTACACGCTTACCTGACATCTATTCTTGGACGACCGTGATGTGGGATGAAGAAGGCGGAGAAGGCATCACATATCGCCTATACATGCCCCCTACTCACCCCACCTGGTCCAACTTTGGTTTTAGGTTTTTCTCTTACAAACTTGTACGGTGCATCTGGGAATGTGCTGTCGATGCAAAGTACTTTTTTTTCCACTCCATCTTCGGTCACCACGCAGCTGTATTACCACCTTTTGCATTTTGTGGAAAATAGATTCGAGCTGATGATTCATTCAAATGAGATATTTTTCGCGTGATGGGTGCGAAAAAACGTGTTGAAATAGTGGCAATGCAAAGCAAACAAGCGGACTGTGACGACATGATACCAATGGTAAGAAAGAAAAAAAGAGGGAACGTAAAGAATCATCAAAACATTGAGGGACAACTTTTGGGTGGCTTTTTTGAAGTAACCCCTATGCGCGGGTTGCTCCAATGGATGGATGGAGACTCTTAACATCGTCAACACACACCTCCAACGACCGAACCTCCTTCAGCCGCTCGCTCCCTTACTTGTTGGGTGGGGCGCCCCGACCACGGCCAGGCCCTCCACGACCACCACGGTAACCACCTCCACCTCCACCACGGGCTTCACCATTGACGGGGGGTGCACCTCCCCGAGGTCGGCTGACAGGCCTGTCCCTATCGCCTCGTTCCTTCTTCGTCTCAACCACAATGCGCAGCTGACCAACTTCACCGCCAACGTCAATCCACACACCACCCTCTCCGCCCTGGTTCTGCGACAAACTGGCGATGATGGCCCGCTTGGCAGAGTCGAGGCTGTTGAATTCGAGGAAAGCACAGGCCCTTGACCGGACGATCTCGAGCTCCTTGATGGGTCCGAATCGTTGTGCAAGTAGGGTCGAAAGAGCGGTTTGCGTGATGGGTTCCAAGACACCCTGTATGGCAAAATGGTGATAAGTAACTTAGCACAAGGAAGGAAGGAGGGTAAAAATACCTTGACAAAGCAATGAGCAGTGGTCACGTTCTGTGCAGCGATATGGGCGGGGTGTTCGTGCCTCCCTCCTTGAGAAGCCTGTGGTCCAGAATGATGCTGGGGGCGGGGAGGAGGATGATGAGGTTGGGTAGCGGCTGGTGTTTGAGTCCCGCTGCTTGGTGCGGGGCTCGCAGGAGCCTCGCTGATGGCGCGCGATTCCTGAGCCACTGAGCCCCACTTCTTCTGGTTAGAAGCAGCGAGAGAGGCCCATGACCTCGGGGCAGCGGGTGTAGGAACGGAAGCAGCAGCTGATGGAGGCGCTTGAACAGCAACTGGAGCGACAGGGGTTGAAACAGCAGGTGCGAGGGGCTTGGATGCGGCGGCGGGGGAGGGCTGCTGCGCAGGGGTGGAGATAGGAGATTTCTCAGTAGGAAGGGCCACGGGGTGCTCGGGTTCAGGGGTGTGGGTACCGTTGGTCTGGGGAGCAGCAACAGGAGCAAGTTGGGACTGAGACTCAGCAGTGGGAATAGAGTGTTGGGCAACGGCGGGTTCGGGAATATCAGTGGTTGGGGCTTCATCAACAGGGGCAGCGACCGGAATGGGTTCGGAGATAACGAGGGGAGGAGTAGGCTCGCGAGCCGGTTCATACACGGGTTCTGCCACTGGTATTGGCTGGACAGGAGTCTGCTCAGGTTGGGCTACAACGGGAACAGGCTCAGTGGCCTCAGCGACCTCACTGGCATCATCGCCCTCAACAGTCTCTTCTTTGAGGAAACGGAAGATGTCGTTGAGGACGAAGTAGCCGTTTGGCTGCTCGGCCAGAAAGAAGGTCTGAACAAATTTGCGCCATGTTTCGCCGTGATTTGACATTTCACCAATGACCTGGATGATGATACCGCCATTTGCAGAAGATTGAGCGTCGACAGAGTGGATAAAGACTTTGCAGTCCTCGAAGCCGATGGAGGTTATCTTGTTGTGAATTTCCTAGGAGAGTTGGTCAGATTTAGGAACAGCATGATTCTTAGATAACGATATGAGTCAATCAAAGAAGGTGGAGTGCACCACGGAACTCGGTTAGTGAATGACTAAACGACATTAATTGAGAAGAAAAAAGGCAGTGAACCACAAAGGCCATTGGGTAAAGAAAGAGAGCAGAAAGCTTGTGGTAATGAGATGAAAAGGACCCACCTGTTGACCGTAGCATGGCTTACCATCCTCTCCTTCAGTGCCATGGATGAAGGTGGAGTTTTTATTATAAAAACAATGCAAACGATTGGGGTGTTTGTTGACGAAGGTATAGTACTGAGGAACAAATTGCCAGCCGACTTCGGATGGAACAACATTGCTGTGAGCAGTAGGAGCAGCGGCCGGAGGAGCAGTTGTTGAAGTTGTCATGATGAGCCCGCTGTTGAAGGGTTGGATTAAGTTGACGAGATGGTTTGTTGATAAAGACTTACATGAAGGATTAAATGAAGTGTGAAATGAGAAGGTCTAAAGGATACACGAGGACCAAGAGAAGAGGCCGCAGAGGAATTCTGTGAGCTGGTTGAGGACGAGAGTGACAAGAACCAAACAACGAAAAAATATCCGTCCTTATTTGCACCGGCATCTCGCGGTGGCTGCGCGTCCCCCTTGCGCTTCCTTGAAGAAATTGCACCCTTAATCACTCTAACTTTCTTGTAAAAGGCTTCTAAAATTGATTACAATGCGGGCGCTTTCGCCTGTCCAAACGTCGAATTTTTACAGTCTCGGTTTCGTGAGATATAGAATTTTCTGTTATTCACACGAATAGGGACCTCATTTAGATCATAGACGGCGCCACAGCAGGCCCATGATTCTGTGCTTATCTCGATTCTTAGATCAACACACCATCATGCCTCGCAATAGAACAATCCTCCTCCTTCTCTTTTTCATATTCGCCTTCTGCCTCTCAAGCAATGGCGTCCACGCATTCGGCGCGGGTAACATCCCTTCGTGAGCGCGGCCTTCAACGAGGATTGAATCTGATCTAACAAGGAATCAACAGTTTTGCATACATGGAGGGAAGGGCCTTTCGCCACGGCGACATTGTAAGATAGAATCGCCCCCATCTTGAACCGTGTGTTCTAAGCTTCATCGTAGGAAGATATTCTTTCAACTCTAGCCAAGAAGGGTGCTGGCGGCGGGTTCGTGCTCGCCAGTATGCTAGGGGGCGGGGGAAGCAAATTCAACGGCCTCGATATCAAGCGCATTTACTTTGGGTGAGCTCCACTATGGTCTCTTTGCCTGACGCCAATAATGACCCCTGGCCGTCAAGAAATTGGTTGCGCGACTACAGTCAGGTTCGTTGATGCTTTTGTGGAATTATGTCATCACGGACGATAATAACCCTTTTAAACAGGCGGTCGATATTGCTTCGCTCAAGAAGCTTCAGTTGCAGGTGCTCATCCTCAGCGATTAACCACCAGATCATAACTGATTTTAGAGTTGGGACACAGACGATTATCAACCTTTGCATGGTCCTTGGCTTTATGGTCGGTCATCTCAATTTCCCAACTTGAATCGTCGGTTTCTGATATACCTTCTAGGCACACGGCTATGCTACCCATGAGTTTGAGGTTACTGCTGAGCGTCTAGGTGTCTACCTTCCTGTTAGTCAACATTCGGTCCAGTCTTCCCATTGTTCATTGTCCCCCTGTTTCAGACCGAGCACATCGACAATCCCAAAGGCTACGGAGCAGGCGAGGATCCACGGCAGTATCACCCACAGCTTCGTCCCCCAGTTGATGTATGCCTGTCTTCTGTGACTCCTGTAAAAATGTCTCATTTTTCCCGCCAGCCGAGAGAATTAGAGATCGACCCCCGCACCGGAATGAAGAATTATATAGCAAATGGTATGGCTCTTCAATGTTGATGTTTGAATTTTTCTAAGTTGCACTCCGACGCGCAGAACAAGGCCATTGGGACACGTCAAAAGCTCTTGTACGACGCACATTGGAGAGATGCATTCATCATGGAAGACAGCATCGTGCCAATGGGGACAAAAAGGACGAGTACGAAGCATATAGGCTTCTAGGTCAACTCGTTCGTTTCCTAGTTTCTTATCTCGCTGTAGCTGATTGATTTGGACATAGTTACACACCTTGGAAGATTTTCCTGCACATTCCAATTTTTGTGAGCTTGCTCTGGTATCTTTAGGTCACCAACAAGTATTTGTGCATGTGGGCGATCAGGTTCGCATACACGCACCTAACGGCAAGACGGTTGCCCCGATTGTCACCGGTGTGTGGTTCTCCAGCTACCGGAGGCGATCTCTTCATCGACCAACCCTCTAGGTTCATTTGGATCCAGTGATTTTATCTACTCGTTGCTTGGAGGTAAAGCTTGAGCACCCTCCCATGTGACAAGATGTAGCTGACTGTCATGTCATAGAGGCTGGTGACCACCTTGTACGAATATCATTTTCGTCATGCATAACAACTAACACTCAAACTCCCTCTTTCTTCCTTTTAAGAGCGAGGTACAAATCTATATCGTCTCGTTAATATTCCGCTAATGCACCGAAAGGCGTCAGTTTCCGATCTCAACAAGGAGCTCGATAAAGCTCGTGCCAAATCGCAGACCCAATCCCGCTCAGGACCTGGTGGTGCTCCCGCTGACCCCGCAGATGTGCTTCGCGATCTTTTGTTCTCCCTTCCTGGGGGTGCAGATAGCGAGATGAGCAGAGATCTGGATAACATCAACAGAATCAGAGCTGGCCCATCCCAAGGAGGGAAGAGGCCGGAAGAAATGAGCCCGCAAGAGTTGCATGGCGTCCTGTGGCAAGTCTTGACGTTTAGGGACTCTGGTAAGTTTTCGTCTGAAGTGTATGTTGCAGACTTTCTTATGGGTTTTTTAGTGGTGAAGAAGATAGCCAAAACCATTCGTCAGTCGATTGTCCTCTTCTTTTTGTGCCCAGTTAATCCTGCGTACAGAAATGATTCCAGGACTTGGTCCGTTGATTCAGAAAATCACAGACTCTATCAATGGTGAGCCTTTTGGAGTGAAACTATTGAGTCTCTTGAATAAACAACCCACAGTCTTCGTTTTGACAACTCTGGAGGTTGATGATTTCGAGTTGTTTTGGCCGTATTGTTGTTGACGTACTTTAATTAGCCCTTCTTGAAGCCCATCCTCAAGTCTGCAACTGGTGGACTGTCAGCCGCCTCTGGTGAAGTCATCAATAACCACGATCAATACGAGGTTTTCAATGATTCACGAGTTGTGAGTGACCCTGGATCTTTGCTTGCGCCTGCTTAGCGACGTCCCTCAGTCCGATCCCACCCATTCTTTCCTGAGTAAAGATCATTTCGTAGGTTCAAAGTCTACCCTCTTATTTACTTGCTGATGTCGCCCCAGAACTTGATCCTCAACGAGCCTGCAGGCCACCTTGCGAGGATCATTGTTGTTCGTACTCCCCCTCACAGCTATTCCTCCTGCACTCACAAGGCTCAAGGTTCATGCTGCGGGTCTAGTCATTAAATCTTGGGACGATAATTCAGTAAATGTCCATCAAATCTCTGAGGAGATCCTTCAGTGCTTGTCAGTCTTTCCTGTCGCGCATCACGTAGTGGCTTCATGCCTGATCAATTATTCTTAGGTTCCACCCGGACTTCCATGACAAAAATTCCAAAGTTCAACGGGAGATGATGCAGTATATGGCCGACTGGGTAAGCAAACTTGGTGGCAAGCAACATGCGACATTGCAACGGCTGAGCAAGCAAGCCGTCCGCAATCATGAGAATATCCGACTCGCTGGAGATGGTGGGGCTCCAGCCTCTCAAGGGTCGTTTGCAGATAGCCAAGCACACAACGTTCAGCATGCTTTGGCGGGCTATGCGCAGAGTCACATCCCAGGTTTTTCGCAGGCGCAGTCTGTATATGGGTCAAGAGATGGGCCTGGAGGTGCGGGTGAAGCAGCATCGTACTACAGCAACAACAATCCCAAGGCTCCTGGTCCCGTAGGATCATCTTACGCGCCACCCCCTGGAGGGTCGTCTTACACTCCTCCCGCCCCCCATGGCGGCGGCACATCATCTTATGCATCTGGACGCCCCACAAGCCCACCAACCTCGTCGTATGCGCCCCCTCCTGGCCCACCACCTCCCCATGGTCCTCATTCGTCCTACTCGTCTGGACCTTCTGGTTATTCTGGAGGGGGCGCTTCGTCTTATGCGCCTCCATCTGGACCACCGCCCTCTTCCTACGTGGCGCCTACAGGACCACCGCGAACATCCTCTTACCCTTACCCAGGTTCTCCCACACAGTCTGGATATACACCAGCCTACGCTCCAGTATCGGGACATTCATCCCCTCCACCGTCGTTCCCTGGCGCTGCACCGTCATTCCCTGGTGCTGCACCATCGTTCCCAGGCGCTGCACCCTCTTTCCCTGGCGGACCTGATCACGATCACGGGCATCATGGACACGGACACGGACATGGCGGGTACACTGGCGGCGGATACGCACCACCTTCTGGGCCTCCCCCTCATGGGGGCGCTCCTGGGTACCCTGGTGCTAGTGGTGGATACGGTCCTCCATCCACTGGGTCTCCATTTGGTTTCCCTGATGCCGATCAGTATCCTGGCTCCTCGCCTCCACAGTTCCCAAATGCTGGACCAAGATTCCCTCAGGGTGGTGGTGGATGGTGAAGGGCTGCTTGAGAAGAATAAATAATCGGAGTGTACAATTATTGGGTAATCGGAGACCTTTCTGTTGTTCATATTCTCTGTATCCATAAATAAGACTGTTCACAAAGGTATCTTGGAATATTTTTTTTTCAACTATGTGACATTTTTCTGAACATGTGCGGAGTGGTACTAGAGCTCGAGGAGGGAGGGTAAGGTAAGTAGGTATATAGGTAAGAGAGAGAAGATGTTCATGAATGATATATAGGATTGAAGGCATTAGGTGGTATAATGCTTTGTAGAAGGGGATGATGAGCGAGATATGTATGGCGTGGGTATAGTACAGAAATGTGGGGATGGTACAGATGACGATGTTTAGGTTGGGTAAGGTATCTTGAGGTAGTTGGTGATACATCAAAAAGAGAAGACAAAGATGTTTTTTTGTGAGTCCGAAAAGGAGGAAAATGAAGGGAGGAAAGCAGGAGAGCGAAAAGGATGAAGGAGAGGATAGGCCATTATCAGCAAAATTCATTTCTTTTGAGAATCGTCATGAGGCCTGGAACGCCTTTGGCTTGGTCGATGCCTACGGGTTTGTGTGGGTCTGGACGTGTTGAGTTTGCCGCGCATGCGATATACCGAACCTATGTAGGGAAAGACAATGATAATGAGTATCATGTGGCGCAGGGACACCGGGAGACGAAAGACGCTTACTTGGACTCTGAAAATCCCGTTCTTTGGACCGCAGATGGTGCATTCCCATCTGAAAAACGATGAGTCTACATCGATAATAGAAGGGAAGAAAAAGAAAAAAGACGTACTGCTCTTCAACGAGCGCATTCGCTCCGAGGTCTTCCACCCTCTCTACGAGCGAAGACCTCGTCGCCCTTAATAGAATGCCAACATTCACGCCACCCGCACACTCATAGTGGTCGATAAACTCTACATCCACTCGCTCCTCGCTCGCACCCTCCAAAAGCCCGGGGTGCGTACACGGCTCCCCTGAGCTGGAAATCAGGTGGTGCGGCTTGACTTTTGCGGACGGAGACAAGGGTGGTAGCTGTTGGCTGTTATTGGCTGCGGCACGCTCCTCGAGTCTGCGCATCTTGGCAAACATATTGGCTACGCCTGAGAAGCTTAACCGCGTTTTCGGTGATTTGGGTGAACCGGGGGGAGAGCCTGAGGAGGGAGAGCCGGGGCCGCTGGAATGGGTTCGCGTGCGTAACATGGCGTTGTGTAAAGAAATATGTTAAGAAAGTAAGGATTGTCGAGGAAGGAGTGGGGAAACGGGAAGAATAAACGGTGGTGGAACTCCTCCTTTGAAGGGGAGTGGAACGTGTCCAGGAATAGCGGAGTTTACATTTGGACCCTTTCCTAATGACCCAAATTCGTACTTTTTATGAAACGGTCAACCGAGCCGATAGCGTTAAATATGACTCGAGAGGAAATAAATCACTACCATAGACTAGGAGAGACTAGGTTGTTCCTACGTTGCATAGAAATATGTTCCGTTTGCTTTCCGTCAAGAATAAAGACGTCGGGATCCAACAGGCTGTTATCTCTCACTTCACTTGAGCTAGTTGGGGTGGCGCCGCAAGATAAGGAAAGGCAGAAGACTGCAGCTGACTGCAGTCAGCTCAAGACGGATATTAATTTCGCTCGATGATGCGACTTTCACATGTGAGTTCCTTGCAGAGGTTCTCAGCGCTTGTCTGTTCGTCTAGCGCTTACTGCCAACTGGCCATTCAATTAGATGTTCCTTCTCCAGCACTGCAGCAACCTCCATGATGGGGTCAGTGGTGACAATCTTGATCAACCTTCACACAAGGGGGTCTTAGGATTCCAAAGTCCGACCAGGGGTTGGGTAGGTAGGTCGGCCGCAGGCCCAGAAAAAAAAAAATGGAACCCTCTACAAAAGGATCTCAAAACAGGCCTGGAAGGCCATACCTTGCAGGTTTGCAGTGCCAATACACTCCAGAACATGTAGATCAGTCAGAATTCAATGATATTCAAGCTTTATATAATATTTCTTTAATCTTATCTAATCATAAATTTTCTCCACCAAGTGTCAACAGAAACACCCACCTCTTGTCATATCGGAAGACCATCGCACCGACATTCCTGCAGGGTATGTTTGTAGAAAAATTGCTAGTGGAAAAGTGACTCACCATAAGTGTTCCAGTCATGCAGCCGTGGTATCACATCAACTTAAGGATGACTGGGACGAGCAGGAGTTGAGGGGCGCTGATTCAGACCAACGCGCCGACATTCCTAGAGGGTACGTACAATGTTTGCCAAAAAAACGATTTGTTAGCGCAAGAGTGACTCACCGAGGTATTCCAGTCATGCAAGCATGGAATCTCCAGAACTCGAGGATGGCTCGGATGAGCAGGAGTCGAATGGCACTGAATCTGGATCAGAAGAACAGACATCAGAGTTTGAAGAAGGGGAGAAGGACATGACAGGTATTGTGAAATCTGCAAACGAACGCAACGTCACGGTAGAGATTGAGGGTGTAGTAGGTGAAAGTGGGGACATGGCGGTAACAGACGTAGCAACGAATGTCACCATTGACGACGTGGGCTTGGAGAAGGACAGCGTGCATATCATCTATACTTAGTTGAACACGCACTCACACGATATGTAGCGCCCTGCTCTTGGGCCGCCATTGGAGACCATCTCAAGCGCCTGCAATGTTAGTGACGCCAGGATAGCCGCAAGTAGTACCAACTTGGAAGAAAGTGGCCGTTCTAAAAGGAAGCACATTCTGAGGCAAATGCCAGCCAGGAGCCTTAAACGGATGCCTGTGTGGAAAGGTGGCGGACTCACAATCGGATGGGGTTCTTGAATGTAAGAGGCTTGGCTGTGAAACACAATGGGTAAGAATATATTCCATACAGAAATTACAAGTCACTCACCTATATGCCAGTATCATCTACGTTGCATTTCATTCCATGAAATTGGGTGTGCGAGGCCTGTGAGGCAAGTAGAGGGACAAAGCGATCACGACGATGACATCACCTTACCATATATGGACACGTGCCTGATTACGTAGGTAGGTAGGTCAAGCTAGTAGGGCTTAAAAAAAAAAATCGACCCCAGGTCTATTTTTTTAATCCTAGGACCCCCTTGCCTTCACACATTGATTTTATGCTGTGTTAGGTGAGCAAGAAGATATATCAGCGTGCCTACTGTATCAGCGGCTTGTCTGTTCAAATTGCTATTAGATAGACAAGTAATATAAATGCCAAAGACGGGATAATTCTATGTGTGAACCCCCTTCATGCGATGAACCCCAAGGTTAGGGACTAGCATGGTTTCGGTAATACCACGGAATTTACTGGACTTTAGTTACTGGTAACATTCGGTACGGAACCGTGGAATTTATGGAAATCCACGGTTTTCCGGAAGTGCTGAGCTGGCTAAAGGAGTTTACAGCTAAATGCAAAACCCTAGACACCTCCCGAAAATTTCTGGTGTCTGCCTCACTTTGTGCAAACAACCACATTTGGCTCAAGTTTAGCTCAATTGGAGCATGGAGCACTCCATTACATGACATACCTGCGTTGGTGGAGGACTTGCATCATTCGTGGCCACTTCCTTCCTCAAATGGTTGTTTGCACAAAGCAAGGCGGAGTCAAGAAATTTCTGCAAGGTGTCTAGGGTTTTGCATTCAGCTATAATAGGGTTACAAAGCGTGACTAGTCCAAATAAATAACTGTATACAAATTTATTAATGATCAAGATGCATTTCATCGTTTCGCCTGTCCTCAGCTTTGCTTGCGTTATATTTAAAAAAATTCAAGGTCATACTGACTCCAGATACTGCAAAGTATAAAACCAAATCCATTTTGCATTTTTTTACCTGCTTTAAATTGAAAACTGGCTCTGCTCCATGGGGTTTGAGTTTTTGGCTTGAGGGAGCAGTGAGGCCTGCACAAAGCTTGGGGCCTAAGCCTAATTTGAATAATAAAAATAAGGGTAAAACATGTCTAAATGACAATCAAGAGTCTATTATTTCTCCAGAACATAAAAACAGTATAATATACAGGGGGGCAATATGATATTTCAGCTGTGAAGTCAGGAAGGCTCAAAAGGCTCAGTAGTACTGGTAACCACAGTAACCATACTGTACTGTACCATATTTGGTAAAACCGTGGTTTTTTTACCGGTTGTTACCATGCTAGTCCCTACCCAGGGTTGATGCTGACAAAGAAATATGAAAATTATGAGGGTTCCATTTTTGGCTGGCTGACAATGTCTGTGGAGAATAGTGGATACAGATACTGAGTTTGAAAATTATATTATGTAATTATCACATGATCGCTGCAATTGCTTGAACCATCGTCGCTATCGTCTCTCTCAACCACGATGGACTCAGAGACTCAACCAGTACATGTTGAAGAACTGGGGAAACATCCCCCAACTTGTTTGGGAGCACCCGGAAACTCAGAAGGCATGTAAGTCCTACATATTTCTTTCCTCGTGCCATTGCTAATGCAACTGACATATGAACAGATCATGTTTAGGCTGGACAAGAACTCACGCCGGCCATGGACAATAGCTTTGGAAACCCTCAAGTGCGTAAGCTATCTTTGTGATCTATTTAATATACTCACATTCCTTCAATCAAATTATAGATTCTCATGGAAATCCCGCTTTATACGCACCCACTACTCACCCTCCAACAATACCTTCTCTTCCAGAATGTAAATGTGACCACCCAAAAGGGAGTGCAAAAATCAAGCCAGTGAGTCTGACCATAAACCAGTGGCAACCACAATGACAATTGATGATGCTAATTGTTATTGTTACAATTGTTACAATAAGACATCCGTCTACATCTACAAGAGATTAAGTCATCTTAGTGAGTCCCCACCTCTTCCCTGCCACCCACCTAACATGCCACCACCACCAGACAAACGACAGCGGCTACAGCCACGTCATCCCTCCCCAGCAACAACATGTCCACACAACAACCACGGCAGAACAACAGCACATGACAAGACATGACCATTACCAAACAAGCAAGGTCCACGTCGCCGTGAGCAACATCACAACCTACCACGGACAAACCACGATGAGGACACATGATGATGAGGGATGGTGAAGATGACCTGGCACGTCAATAGACGTGCCATGACATCCAGACTGTGATGATGATGCATGTTGTTGTCACTGTCCACATCAATCCAGGTGAGCAAGATGGCTCCTCTCTCCACCTTTTTTCATAAGAAGCAGGGCACGTCGGCATGCCCTGCTTCATGGTAGTCATTTAGCTATTTGTTACTGTGTTTTTATGTGTAGAATACCATTCTCAATGATCGTTTTTTTGAACTATTCTCAAATTCCACAAAGAAAAAATGTGCAGGGATTGAACTTGCATTGGAATTCTGTTGTAACTCATGAACTATGTGACCTGTCCTGGAGGAACGGGTCTAAAGCTTGTTCTATCTTATCAGAGATCTGACTGTTCCTTTTGTGTAATCTAAGCGAGTATCCAGCTTATATAACACGAAATAAATCTAAAAGGAGGAAACAAACCCTGATGATCTCGCAAATCTAAGCAAGTATCCAGTATCCCACTTTACCCTGTTTCCTACAGCTTGCAAACACCCACAGGACACACTGCCGCAGCTCAGTGAAGTGTTCTGTAGGTTGCTTGCTTGTGTTGTTGCACGCCATGTTGATATTGTGAGGTTTGGGTCTTCCCTTCCTCCTCTTCCCTTTTTCTTTTTCTTTTTCTTTTTAGCCCACAAACACTGGTATCCGGCCCCATTTTTGGCCAGTTTTGGCGCTGCTGCCAGTTATCCCACTGTGACCACAAACAATGATGCTCAACATGTCAATGCATGGTGTATGTGAGCCTTTTCAGACACAGTGGCACCAGGATCTGCTTGTGGCAGGGGTGCATCCAAAGCTCACAACTGTCGAGTCGAATGCAGCCCAACAGCAGCATTTGTGATGGAATCATTCATTGTGTTAACACAGTGCTCCTACGCTAACCAACGGCCAATGTCAAGATTATCAATCTACCTACTGGCTATTCACTTCTCAAGGCTCTCCCTTTAAAGCCGCTGCCAGTTGTTATGTTGCTGGACACCCTCCAGATTTACACACCCCACTCATCCCGCAGGTTCAACAGGAACCAAACAAAGCCATCTGTTAATGGTCAACATCAATGTCTCCCTCCCATTTCTATACTCCACCCTCGCCCCAGTGAGCCTTCAAAAAACTGGGTATTCTTTGCCAGCTGAAGTGCTCCTTGACCAGGTTCTCCCGGTACAGCGAACATGTCTGCATCCTCCTTAAAATATGAACTCCCACTCTGGCCATATGGCAATACACTGGGAGCCAAGAGTTCGAGCACATCTCATGCAAATCCCAAATTCCATGGTGACCGCTTCACTCACAATGAAGAACGAAGGGTTGGTGGGCTTGGCTGGGGGATCTTCACGATGGCTTGTTTATGGTTGTCAAAGCAGAGGTGGAGGACCTCAGAGTTGTTACAACAAAAACTTTGATCACTGTGTACTCATTGTCAGACATGCTATCAACAAGTCACTTAAGGTACTATTATGCCAGTCTGAGATGGCAGATGGTATGCTGACCATTTTTGTGCCCAAGTCAATGAAGTTTTTGTGTAATTATGTAATGAATGAATATTCACTGAGCCGGACCTCTGACTGTGTGAACCAGGTTCTTACATAGAAGAGGAGGGGGTTCATGTGTGAAGGGGGTTCACACATAGAATTATCCCCAAAGACGACCTATAAAAAGGGTGGCGCAAGATAATCCATGATGCAGATAACCTCACCATTGTCTTCAACAACAACGAGTTGGCCCGAAACTGCACAGAAGCTGCAACTAAGAGGATCACAGCATTTGGACAGGTTGGAAGTGATTGAAGGGACTTTGTTCAATGAGATTCATCAGTAGAATCACAAAACCACTTTCAGAAGCCAAGTCGACTTTCTTTCAAAAGTGGTTATAGCTTTCAAAAGTGGCAAAAGTGGGGAAAGTGGACTGGGAAGTGGCTGTGAAAGAGGTTGAAAAGAGAGAAGAAAGACTAGTAGAAGGTCATGTAAAAAGACAATAGGATTTCAAAACTCTTATGAAAACAGTAGCAATCCACTACACTACACTACATATAAATCTTGGGGCCATCATCGCCTCCAAATACCACTCCCATCTCACTCTCCAATACTACCACTCTCCGCATACTTGGCATCTGAGAGAACTTGAAAGAGACATTGTCCATTGTTGGCGAGGTCAGGAGTGCATCAATACAGTAAGTAAACTGGAGCTTTGCCAAGTCAACGTTTTGACATGCAGAAGGCCCTTGTACTTTATGAAGCATATCAATGAATGAAATGAATAATGACGGGGGTCAAGTGAATTGTGTACTCACACCTGATGAGGACCCAGACAACCAAACCATCCATATCCCGCACCTCCACGATGATGGCGTCCCCAAGTCACTCAACAGAGTGTAGACCCTCAAGGTCAGTTGGTTCTTAGCATGGTTGTACATCTACATTGGGTTCTGAAATTCCCAACAGACACCTCAGCTACACATGTATCATTATCATCAGTCCTTAATCAGTAAGAAGACAGGAAGAACTTACAAAACATCAGCAACCATCGGTTTGTCTTGATACAGCTTCTTTGTGCTCTCTGCTCTCCGACTCTGGGACAGCCTCAACTGTTGAGGCCAGAAACAGGATCAGCGGAAATTCTCAGAGTACACTGGTCATTTGCCAACGTGTGGAGGTCCTGAGTGGAATGGGGTTACTTCGCTGGTAAATGAATCCATGATGGGTTTGCAATGTGACAGGAGTGATGAAACGGGCTGCTGCTGCAGCTGGATATTGGAATTGAACTTGGCGATGGCAATAAACCATGTCAATGTCATCATGAGTTTGTGCTGACCAGGCACACACCCAATCGTGACAGACATTGCACGTCAGAGGAGGGGAGGTGGGGAAAGGAGGTGGGTGGGTGGAGAGCGTGTGGGTGTCTTTGCAGAAAAGTTTGTAAGTCCAAAAATTTCCAAATTCGGATGTTCAACATGTTGCGTGATCGATAGTCAACAACAACTCTTCTTCTGATTTCGGCACAGAAAACACACCTTCTACCTCTTGAACCCTCACTGAAAATTCATTATTAGATGATAGGTCTTCACCCCAATGCTACTCTATGAAATTTATTGTTCAACAAATTTGAAAGAGGTTCAAAGTGGGAAAGACCCAAAAGGGGATGAAAAGTTGCCTTGAAAGTGATGTGAAAGCCAAAGCACCTGAAAGTGAAAGTGAAAGGGGTTGTGATTTTACTGATGTTGGAGGTGTGACCAGGCTGATCATCATATGTGTCTTGTGCCCAGACATCGTTATGTGGCAGATTTCATCTTCAGAATATTGGAGATACCTGCAATTATCAATGTCGAAATTTTTGTTCGAGTCTGGGGGCAAGTCAAGCACCGTTCCCATCTTGATGGGAAGAACCATCAGTAGGGTAGGGTCCATGGATGAATGAATTGCCAATTTCAGAGTGTAGCATACCATGACAGACTCGTCAAGGATTCCAAATGAGATGGGGGATCGATTCTTGAGAACCAGGGGCTCAAAACTGACAAGGTCCACAGCCTTTTTTTGGAGAAAGGATGGGCGACTATTTTTTTTTGGGGTATGCACAACAATTTCACAGGTGCCTCCCAAAAGCGGCAGTATATCCCAGACAGACACTTGGGACTGTGAGGGCATGTCAGCATTGGAAAGTATGGCAATCATGTATGGCAATCTGTGTGGCGATCTGTATGGCCAGAAACGTTACAACAGACACGTGATGTTCAAATATTAGTCCACGTCGCCTTGCGCGCTTCACCATGCTCCTTATTTACCTAGTTGAGCAGCTCAAAGACATGCCATACTTCAGGGGATCTCCCTTAGTATTCTTATGACATGTACAAGACTTACATCACTTTACATCTCATCTGTACTTACATGTATGTAATACTGCCCATGGTGGAAAGAGCATGAACAATGTTCATGAGGAGATACTCATTGTCTTACCACAAAATGAGTTTGACAAAGTTCAGGTTCAACTGGATTCCAGCATCCGCGTAAGTCCAAGGTGGGCACACAGAATGTGAGGCTGCTATATTGGGAGCAAACACAAAAGTAAGCAATGGAAATACACGGCAAAGGAAGGAGATCATACGTAAACTTCCTGTTGAGTGAAGGGATGACCTTGCCAACGGCCTTGGCAGCACCAGTGGACGAAGGGATGATGTTGTTGATGCTACATCCGCCATGTCAGTCCTTGTGTGATGGGCCGTTGATGGTCTCTGAGTTGCAGTGGTCGCATGGACGGTCGTCATCAGACCCTTGACGATATCAAAGTTGTTGTGAATGATCTTGGCAAGAGGGGCAAGGCAGTTGGTTATGCAGGACACATTCAAGATCTGTAGTTCCCTTGATTATTATGAAGAAGAAAATGGATGATAGATGTCTATGCACGACTTTGACGGCAGGGTCTTACTTGTCAAGGTTGACACCAACCACAAACATGAGTGTGTCGGCCGATGGGGCAGAGATGATGACTTTCTTTGCACCACCCTTCAAGTGGGCTGAAGCCCTATAATGTTGATGATCATTCAGGATGGCTTAGTAGAAAATGTTAAATGTTTACTTCTCTGTAATAGTGAAGACACCCTAGACAGAAGACAGCAGTCAGCATCAAGTGTCTAAATCAGAAGAGGAAGGATGCATGGTGGCCTCAACGATATACTCAGCACCAGCCGAGCTCCAGATCACGCTCGCCAATGATGGTGACGGGCTTGCCGTTGACAATGAGCTTACCATCCTTGGCCTCAATGGTTCCCTTGAATTGTCCGTAGTGATGTGCAAGGGTTTGTCAACCCTCCAAGGGTCAGGGGTAAGGGTCAGGAGGGTAAGGGTCAGGGTAAGGATTTTGTGACCCTCAACAAACCCTTGACCCTTCTGAAGGGTCAGGGGTTTTTCAGGGGTTTTTTTAGGGGTTTCATTTCTCTAATATCAAGGTAAGTACTCCAGATAAAATGATTTTAAATCACATTGAATCAGATAAAATATCATCCAAAGAGGCCTCACTACCTTTGCAACACTTAGTACTGTTCAGATACACTGAATTCCTCATATTTCATCAATAATTACTAAAAACCATGTGTACTGTCATAAATATACTTGAATGATGTGTATTTCACAGGCATCTTGCTATTTATTTACTATCTATAAAGCTTGAGCAGCGATTTGCTCCAAACCCTTGTTCAAACCCTGCTGGGGTT